GTTGCATATTAACTTATCAAGTAAATCTATAGATTTAAATTATTTACTGGCTTCTTAAAGAAGCTATTTATTTATCAACTATAAAAATGATTTATATGTCGGAAACTCACAAATCTTATAACTTATCTAGCATTTTCTTAGCATACCGCTTAATTCTTCTTGGGAAATGGCATCGTCTAAATGTACAATATGTGTCCATCCACATCCTCTCCTGTTTAACGTCTATTGCTGTCATTAATTCCAAACCTACGTTTCATGAGCCATTCATGGAAAATAATTTTCTTAATTTTTGCGTCTTCCCTTAGTTTAAATTTAACGTAGGTCATTAAGCAAAGAGCACAATCCGTATAACCACGCCTGTTTTTTTTTTCGTAAAAAGAATCTATATTTATCTTTTAAATAGTTCACTCGTCAGTAATTTACAATCACCTGATGAGAAACGTTATATGCACATCGAAACACGACTGCAATTGTGTAGCGATTTTGACATGTTTTCGATGTCATATCCTAAAATAAATCATATATATATATATATATATATATATATATATATATATATATATATATATATATGTGTGTGTGTGTGTGTGTGTGTGTGTGTGTAATAGTGGTCAATATATATATATATATATATATATATATATATATATATATATATATGTATGTATAAATTTCCAAGTGGATAGAATCCAGGTAGAACTCAATGTTCAGGACAGAGCAAGAATATAATACAAAGGCTCAAACACTAATATTCCATGGTTATAATTTATTACATTGGAATAGTAATTACGATCAATTTATCAGACCTACAAATTCAAAATGAAATCGGAAAATATAACTTTGTTTTTATACGACGGAGGTATATTTTCCGATTTCTTTTGTAATTTGTAGGTCTAATGAATGGTTTCGTGATTACGATTCCACTGTTGTAAATTATAACCATGGAATATTAGTGTTTGAGCCTTTATATATATATATATATATATATATATATATATATATATATATATATAAAGAAAAGATTTCTTATAACTCTGCAAAACAGTGTATGGGTGAAGCCATTCAATGCAGGCTTTCACCAGATTAAATTGATAGGCTACTTTCCGTTGTGCTATTGGTTGTGTGGTGTTGTTGTCGGTCAGTTACTTCGAATTGCATGTCACACAACGGAAAATGAAAACAAAACCACGCCAATAACAGCCCGACTCCAATGTCTCTATAATGTTTGATTTCATTCTGTCAGTTCTCCAGTTGTTTTACTTGCGTTTCCTTAACCACATCCGGGACTATTGCCACGAATCCACATCCGGGGCCTGCTGTTACCAGTCTTTATCTGGGTCTCGTGGTATTGCTTTCCCGACAAAACAGGCTTGGTTTTTATCAATTTCGATCTAATAAATATTTATGAGTTCGCCGCTCTACACATCCGGGTAATTTTCTCGTGATACACCCGAAACGGAGACTTCTTTTCCCACTCACCGGTAAATACCTTATGTCCTCTCTTCAAGGTTCGATATCCGGGTTATGGGGACACGTCATCATTCCAATATTTAGATAGCCAATGAAGAAACTTACTAGCCAGTCACATGACCATGCCGTCACCATAAATATCAGCTAGAGCTTTAAAAATGATTTCAATATGGAAAAGACAGCACCACTAAATGACACTCGATCTTGAAAATCATCAGAAAGTCTTCGGCCACATATATTCGGATAATGTCCATATTCCTTACACATGAACATGCTTGTTACTGTACGTAAGCAAAAGGCAATGAACGAAAACATTAAAAAGACATTGTCCGCAGTAATGAAAGAAACAGGGAGCAATGGAAAAACTAAAGAACTAAGACCTAAATAAACGCACACGTATCTGTCTATCTATCTATCTATCTATCTACCTTCACACACACACACACACACACACACATATATATATATATATATATATATACAGGAAACCCTCGATTAGTGCGACTAATGTGCAAATTGGTAACTATAAAGAAAATTTCAATTATTATGATTAAACTAAATAATGATTTATTGCACTAATCGAGTATTATGTATCGACTAATCGAATTTGGATTTATATAATTTTAGCGCACTAATCGAAAACGCGTTAATCGAAGAATTCCTGCATATATATATATATATATATATATATATATATATATATATATATATATATATATATATTAATTATTTTTTTAATTTATAACATAAGTATGTTATAAAATCACTACAAAAATAGCCATTTTGTTTCAACACCCCCGTGTCTTATCAAGTGATGGTGTTGAATGTAAAATAAATGCTTTTAAAAGTTTCAAATTAATTAAGGATCCTTCGCAAGGGGAAAACGCTGTTACAAAAGCTAGAATAACCAATCAAAATACAAGTATAGGAAAATTCAAAAAGCTTGATAACGAAGTCATGTTATAATAGCTATTCAGATCTTTAAAATAGGGGTAATATTAAAGAAGAATTTATTCTAACCAATAATTATTAAATTATCTGATAAAATTTGATATTAAAATTAAAAACTGCCAATTTTAAAATCCAAATTTAATCACTATTAAGTTTTAAAATGATAAAATTACTGAGGAGAAAAGAAGAAATACATGTTATTCAATTTATTTCTTCATTGAAATTACGTTAGAATAGATGCTACGTCATCCGGTCCTCTGACAATATATGTATACGTTTTAATCCCAAGTGTATGAATGGGGTCCTAAACTCAACACAAACAACATCAGATTATAATACATAAGCACCCAGACATATTTAGACATATATACACACACAAAAGTGACGAGACAGGGAACATCTCCACGGCCCTTTATGAAAAAAAAATAAATAAATAAAGACCCTGTGGATGTTGAAACAAAATTGCTATTTTTGTAGTGATTTTATAACATATCTATGTTATAATTTAAAAAAAAAATAATTATATCTGCTCTACTTTGTATTGAGCACTCTTTTTAGAATAGTAATTGTTGGTTATTGGAATTTATTTCGTATACACCAATTATATACTTGTATATATATATATATATATATATATATATATATATATATATATATGTGTGTGTGTGTGTGTGTGTGTGTGTGTGTAAAATATTAGTGGTCATATATATATATATATATATATATATATATATATATATATATATATAAATTGCAAGAGGATAGAATCCAGGTAAAACTCAATGTCCAGGACAGAGTAAGAATATAATATAAATGGTTCAAACACTAATATTCCAATCCCCTTCTCTTCTACGCATTAATTATCAATAAAATACAATTTTTATTGTAACTTCTAATTATAATTTCTAATTATGTACAGTAATGAAGCATATACAGTATAGGTGAATAACTCGTCTATAATAATTGAAACTAAAAAGAATGTATCTAAATACAAATTAGTGACATTTCACAATCGATTATTCAATCTTAAATAAATCATCAATGTTTTTAAGCGATTTTTAACATCCGCTTGCGAATTTTTATTGTTAAAAAATTGAAGAATTTTAGGATATTCAACATTATGGATAAAAAAAATAGTTGATTCATGTAGTTCTTTTTCATGGCTTAGCATAAGCAAAACAAATTCACAGATTTGGATAAAAAAAAGAAAAAGGACCCTAGAAAGACGTCAAAATCCGGTAAAATTTTTCATCCTTTTATAATCCGTTGTGCTTAGTTTAATTTGAAACGTATATAAATGTAGGTAGAAAATATCAAATGTTAATAAGATAGCGAGTGTCACAAAGCACTGCCTAGATCCCCCAGTTAGGGTTAAACTCCCACTACCTGCAGGTCGTGAGGTTCGAGGTTATTACGTACCGGTCCGGTCTGTAGATATCCATTAAACATATTGATGTAATGAATATGCATACACCTGGGTTCCCCTTCACAGTAATATGATTGGCCTATTGCCTGCGCCTATTGCCTACCACTACGACGAGGACCAGTCCATTGCGGTTACCTGCTAGATTATCCTACCCGGTTACAGTAGTCAACAACCAATTTGCTACTTCGAACAAATATATCTCTTCCCGGGACATATCACATATATTTCAACATATTCTATGAAATAGTGCTGACTGGAAACGATTCTTTTCCTGATATCGAATAAGATATTTGATATCAAGTGGAAACCTTTCAAGGAAGTTGCCGAAATTGAACCGTCGTTTTTCGTTTTCCAGGAAATAGAATAGAAAGTCGAGAGATAAGCAGCGTAATGCTTATATTGTTAACAGTCCTAAGTTTGAAATGAATTTGGGTTAACATCCTTTGATCTGGAATATATTTTAATGTCACTAAATTACTTCATAGGTCAAAGAAATTTTAGCAAAGATCAAAATATATTTTCTTCATACCATGTTGCTTTCTCTTGATATAATGGACTTTGCACACTTGTAATCGTTTTCTATAGTTGGGAGTGGCACTGGCATGTTATTTCTACCTAACATCAAACAACCTAATCGACGCCCAGAAGAATTCACCACAAGAGTTAAAATACATTCCTTCTTTGCTCTATTTTATCGAACATGTTTAAACATAGGACTGCAATCTACATGTTTAACAAATAACTCTCAAATAAAAAAAAAAAAAAACAATCTAAATAAACTTATATCTTTGAATAATTCAGGAATTGGATCGATTAGACTTCAAAAAGTGACCAGGGATAAATATAAGGTAATGTTAAAATCCTTAAACCATATAAACTCCGCCTATGATAAGTCATCATAAAAAGACCGAATTGCATTGTGGGCCAAGATAAACCGCGTAAGGCAATCGCCAAAAATCCAATTTCTGTAAATTAAACAAAATAACATCATTTGCTGAATTATATTTATATTGTTATTAAGAGAAATTTTCGTAAGACCGGAAATTGGACAGAAATAAATAAACAAGGGAAGATAATAATGTTTAACGTCTACCGGCAATACCTGATAATTAATGGACTTTTCTGTTTTGATCGCAAGGACAGAGAGGAAAACACTACTGGAGTTCAGTGAGAAAATGATAGATAGATAGATAGATAGATAGATAGATAGATAGATAGATAGATATGAACAAACTGTTATAGATAGATAGATAGATAGATAGATAGATAGATAGATATGAACAGACTGTGATAGATAGATAGATAGATAGATAGATAGATAGATAGATAGATAGATAGATAGATAGATATGAACAGTCTCAGATAGATAGAAAGATAGATAGACAGATCGATCGATCGATAGATAGATGAATAGATATGAACAGACTGTGATAGATAGATAGATAGATAGATAGATAGATAGATAGATATGAACAGTCTCAGATAGATAGATAGATAGACAGATCGACCGATCGATCAATAGATAGATAGATAGATAGATGAATAGATATGAATAGACCGTGATAGATAGATAGATAGATAGATAGATAGATAGATATGAACAGACTCTGATATATATATATATATATATATATATATATATATATATATATATATATAGAGAGAGAGAGAGAGAGATAGATAGATAGATAGATAGATATGAACAGACTGTGATAGATATGAACAGACTGTGATGATGATAGATAGATAGATAGATAGATAGATAGATAGATAGATAGATATGAACAGTCTCAGATAGATAGATAGATAGACAGATAGATAGATAGATAGATAGATAGATAGATAGATAGATATGAACAGACTGTGATAGATAGATAGATAGATAGATAGATAGATAGATAGATAGATAGATAGATATGAACAGTCTCAGATAGATAGATAGATAGACAGATCGATCGATCGATCGATAGATAGATAGATAGATAGATATGAATAGACCGTGATAGATAGATATATAGATAGATAGATAGATATGAACAGACTCTGATATATATATATATATATATATATATATATATATATATATATATATATAGATAGATAGATAGATAGATAGATAGATAGATAGATGTGTTTAACGGCTGTTTCAATGAAATGGAAAAGGTTGCCAATTTCAAATATTTTAATTTGTACCCCTTTACTTCTTAAAAATAACGACCAGAATTCATGTGATTGTTATTGCAATATGTTATTAAAGTTGTTAAGTTCGAATATTGAACGATGCAAATAATCGAATTTCAACGGATATTTTATTGTCTTAGAACTCGCCATGAGCTTATCCAATCATTAACTTAAGATTAAGATTCATCAGAACATTTAAATAGGAAAACCGTGAAATTTTTACGGATATCTCATTTTAAACAATATTTGAATGTTCGTACATCCGTAGCAATCAACAATAACCATTTCTGCCTAGTTACACTACGATTAAATTACACCATCATGAAACTCGGAATGGTATGACGTGTTTATAAATTTGTGTATGCAAGTATCATTGTCCTTTCACCTCGTTGTGGATCTGTTGTGTCAAAGCAGGGGAAATATTTCGACCATGCACACAGACGCACAAACAGTATGAATCTGTGTGTATGTATGTTCGAGTATTAACGTGTGCGACACGATCCGGTCATTGTGTATTGGCGCGGCAATACGAGATGGCGGGAACAAGTGGAATGAATGGATACAGCATTTCCCCGGCGCCCATTGGCTCCTATCAACGTCAAACGGCCGTAAATGGCGTCCGCCTGTGACCCGGTCGGTCGGTACGCGTGCTGTGTGGTTTGGGACTAAAGATCAGAGGGCCGGCCGTCGTATTGATCGGCACAACTCGACTACAATGATGCCAGCAAACACTAATCGCCATTAATTAGTTCTTTATTACATGTGAAAACAGAGAGTAATATTACCAGATTGGCGGCAAGAGTTTTAAAACCCTAAGCCGTGCAGGCCTCTGGTTGATCTCGGAGGAGCGGGAAAACTGACAGGATCAGTACCCCGGCCATATTGCTCCAGACCTACTCTCCAATTGCATTCTTTCGTTTTCTTTCTCTGGGTCTTTTCTACTTTATTTATATTTCTCTTTCTCTATGTCTTTGATTTCATTTCCTTTTCCTTTTCTTTCTTTCATCCCATTTAAAACTAAAAAAAAACGTTTCTCTGATCCAATCAAAATGTGCTTTTTTTCTTCTTCTCACATTCCTTTCTCTTACAACCTCGTTTTCATAAATCTTACGCCATTTTTATTAATTCATCATTTCCTTTATTTTTTTTTTCATTCTTTCTCGTCGTCTTTCTCTTGTTGATCCATTTTCATTCATCTTTCATCTTTTATTTGTTCATAAGTAATTCCCTTCACTTTCTTTCATTTTTATGCATTTATGAGTCATTTTTTCATTAATTTTATCCTTAGACCTTTTTCTCTTATTCTCTTTTTCATAAGCATTTCTCCTCATTTTTTTTCGTTCCTTTTTTTTTACTTTCTTTCTTGTGAGTTTTCTTTTTCACTTTTTCATAAGCAATTCTTCTGAGTTTTTACTTTCTTCCTTTCTTTTTTATGAATTTTTCTTATTCTTTTTTCATAAGCGTTTATCCTTGCGTTTTTTCTTTCCTTGTTTCTTATAGTCTTTGTTTGTTTCTTTCTTTTTCATAAGTGTATATGCTTGTTTTTTCTTTCTTTCTTTCTTATTTTCTTTGCTTCTTTCTTTCTTTTTCATAAGTGTATATACTTGTTTTTTTTCTTTCTTTCTTATTTTCTTTCTTTTTCATAAGTGTTTAGCCTTGGTTCTTTCTTTCTTTCTTCCTTTCTTTCTTCCTTTCTTTCTTCCTTTCTTTCTATCTTATGAACTTTTCTTATTCACTTTTTCATAAGAATTACTCCTTACTTTTTTCGATTTACACCTTCTTTAATACCCTTACCTTGTTTTCAATCGTATACATTTTTTTCTTGGTTAAGGGCTGCGTTCTACGCATCCTTCCTTCCTTCCTTCCTTCCTTCCTTCCTTCCTAACGTTGTCGTATGTTGTTGATCATTCATTCGTCTAATCTGATTTATGATTTCTAAAGTCCCTCGCTTTATTTTACTTTCTTTTTTTTAGGATTCTTCTTTTTTTCCATCTTGTCTCCTTTCTGGGTAATCATTTTCTTTGTGGATTTTGTCTTCTTTTCTTTCTCTTTCTTCCTCTTTTTCTTATTCTTTTCATTCTTTCTTTATTATCTCCCTTTCTTGTTTTATTTTGTTCTATTTGTATTTTTTCTGCCTCTTTTTTTCCTTTCTTCTTTTTACTTATTCATTCTGTATTCTCTTTCATTTTCTCTTTCTTTTCCCTCTCTTTACGCCATTTTACTTCCTATTCTTCCATCATTTTCGCTGTCATCATTATTTTTATTTTCCTTACTTTTTCTTCTTTCCTTCTTTCTTTCCTCCCTTTCTTTACTTTCCATTGTTTACGTCTCTTTTCTTTCTTTTCTTCTTTTTCTTTCTTTCTTCCTTTCTTTCTTTTAATCTCTCTACCACCATCCTTTTTGTTGCTATCATTCTTTTTACTTTCGCTTAATCTTTCTTTCTTTCTTTCTTTCTTTCTTTCTTTCTTTCTTTCTTTCTTTCTTTCTTCTCACATATCTTCTCTCAGCAATCACTTTTTCCAACATCCTTTATTTCTCTCTCTTTCTCTCTTCCTTTCCTTTTATTTTATCGTATTTCCTTTTCTTTCTTTCTTTCTTTCTTTCTTTCTTTCTTTCTTTCTTTCTAGCTCCATCTTCCGTACCTTAAACCCTTCCACTCTATGCTTCATCCCTGTCTTCCTTTCTCTGATCGCTTTTTCTCCTCCGCTAAATTCCTCCATTCTCCTCTTCTCTCATTCTTTTAGCCCTATCCCCTTTCCCGCTCGTTCCTGTCTCGTTGACTGAACTCTCGCATATTCAGAAGCCTGCCTCTCTCTATGTCTAACTATTTATCATATCTTGTGATGATCATTTGAACAGGCTGTCTTATCCACTTAAGTTGAATACAGTCTATGCACACTGACACACAATTGTTCCACAATTGAGGCAGATTTTATAAACTGACATTAATGATCATTTCTATCGTTTCTTTTTCACTTTATCGTGAAACATTACACGGATCTTCATTGGCTTCTGGCTTCTGTATGCGGACAACCAGCCTCCATTTTACGACTTTCCCAATCCCTTCACATCAGCTGTCGAGATCTATCTATATCTATCCCTTTATGAGATCGCACGCGATGGCTGCCTGCAAATATTTGTAACAGGTGATGCGTGTTCAACGGTTTGATATCCACAGACCAAAACAATGAGACCATCTCCTCCACTATTTTACTGTTCAGCAGCTGTGGAGTCATTTTAAAAGGAAGACTCAGATAGAACAACCCGTCTTATGTAAATTGTAACTTCCGAGTGAAGCACGTCTTTTATGAACAACGCCTTAAATACTTTGGTCACAAAAGAAGAACTCAACATTCATTCTTTTACCTAAAATTCTCTGATTATAAACTCCCTTAGTAGTGCTAACTAGTAAAGTTACTATTTTTTTTTGTTGTTTTTTTGTTTGTTTTTTTTTTGTTGTTGTTGTTCTGACATTAAGTATTTAAAATAGTCGTATTTTTATTGTGGATGTGTACTTATTCGATTATACACTTTCCTTATTGTTTGTTACTATTTCAGCTTAGCTTCAAATTGGTACTTTGTAAGTAAAGCAGTTATTATTTTATTACTATATTTTATTATATCTTATTATTGTTGACTTTTAGATGAAGCATTTTCACTATCATTCTTTTATTACTAGATTTAAGCCATCTTATTGTTACTTTTTAGATTAAGCATTTTCACTATTATTAATTTATTACTAGTTTTACGCTATATTATTATATTATCTTTTTTGATGAAATATTTGCATTATTCTTATTTTATTACTAGTTTTACGCCATATTATTGTTGATTTCTTTTACCTAAAATTCTCTGATTATAAACTCCCTCTTAGTAGTGCTAACTAGTAAAGTTACTAGGTTTATTTATTTTTTTTTTTTTTTGTTGTTGATATTAAGTATTTAAAATAGTCGTATTTTTATTGTGGATGTGTACTTATTCCATTTTCTTATTATTTGTTACCATTTTCAGTCTAGCTTCAAATTGGTACTTTGTAAGTAAAGCATTTATTATTTTATTACTATATTTTACTACATCTTATTATTGTTGACTTTTAGCTGAAACATTTTCACTATTATTAATTTATTACTAGATTTACGCCATATTATTATTGTATCTTTTTTGATGAAGCATTTGCATTATTCTTACTTTATTGCTAGTTTTACACCATCTTATTATTGTTGTTTTTTATATCAAGCATTTTCACTATTATTGTTTTATTACTAGTTTTACTCCATATTATTATTGCTGCTTTTTGGCTTTAGCATTTTCACTAGTATAATTTTCTTACTAGATTTAAGCCATCATATTGTTGTCATTTTTAGATGAAACATTTTCACTATTCATATTTTATGACTACTTCTACGCCATATTTTTGTTGCATTTTAAATGATGCATTTTCGCTATTATTACTTTGTAACTAGTTTTAAGCCATCTTATTATCGCTACTTTTTAGATAAAGCATTTTTACTATTATTATTTCATCGCTAGATTTCCGTCAGCTTATTATTGCTGCAGTTTAAGTGTAGCCTTTTCACGGGTATCTGTTTATTACTATTTTATGTGATCTTATTATGACAGCTTTTTAGACAGAAGCATTTTTACTATTATTACTTTACCTTATTACTCCTTATTATTGTTGCTTTTATACGAAGCATTTTCAATAGTATTACTTCATTGCCTGTTTTAGCTTTTACGAGCAATATTTTATTGCTAGTCTTATCATTATTTTCCACTTGTAGAAAAAAAAACTGCAACAAAAGGTTCGATTTCTTCTTTCACACGCTGAGGTATTAATGTCCGCGTAATTACTATGATAGATAAACTATATTAAAATGAGTATGCCTGACATTATCTCCCGAAGTAGGTATTATAATTTAGGAAGCCAGGTCACTTCGACGTGGTGTAAGGGTTAGAAAGCTCGTCTTGCTAAATCAATTACGACTGAGTAGTGAGTTCGATCCTCACTGGGTGCCCTATACTTTCGGCCTTGTGCCAGATCTAAGCCGGGTTTAGAAAATCATTATAATTTAAGAAAACATTAGTGATTGTAAATATTGGATTGGTCAGGGTATAATCAAAGTTCAGCTTCGTCATTCCCTCATCCCACTCGTCAGAAACCGGTCTTTCATGGGCGTCGCTTTTACTGCTACGCACCTTGTATCATAGGAGACATGTAGGCGTGAAAGTTAGCAATGTATGGTAACATATAGAGAGAGACGTAAAGTTACTGCAGGTGGATTTTAATGAATTTGTAGGGTCGTTATCAACAAAAAAAAGTGGGGCTGTAAGGTCTTGTAGAATTTGACATCGTGATGTCTTTAGGGCCAGATAAAAAGTTATGAAGCAACAAAGTTACTGGTATATTCGGTCTGATTCCTCTGCTATCTATTTACAGATTCTAGATAATATCCAATGAAGAATATGCAATATCAATGGTCCTCATCTGGCATCTCGGCTTCAGTGAATTTCCCGCCGCTGTAATGTGCCTTTTCTATAAATACTTTCATGGTAATTGCTCTAATGGGCTTTTCTCTATAGTACCTAGATTTTATGGATTTAAGCGCAGTACTAGATTGGTAACAAGTCCTCATCATTTTAAAGTTGAAATGGCTAGATATATTCTATACTAACATTTTATTTTATCGCACTGCTCACTTGTCGATCTCTCTTCCGGCAACCTACATTCCACTCAAGTTTGATCTTAAAAAAATTTAAATGCAATGTCAATCGTTATCTTCTGTCTTCTTAATTTCTTCTCTTTTATTGTCTCGCTCCTAACTAACGTTTTTCTTTTCCTTATGTTCTTTCAAAGTCAGAAACCCTCTGTGTCTTACTGGCTTTGTTGCCTTGCTTTACGATGAAGTGATTTAAAAATATATATAAGTAATTAGGTTTTGCTTTTTTCTATAATTTCTGGGTAAGACCGTAAAATACATCCAATAGCAAGGCCTGTGATCAAGAGGTTTCGAATAGCGTGGAATCACCTCTTAATTGCTGGTGTTCTCAGATCCACCCTGATTCGGGGTCCCAGCTATGGGCAAATAGTTCACCCCCAAAACTGGGGTCAAAACACTATGAAAGTGTAAAAATAGGTTTTAATACCAACAAAATGTTTTTGTAAAAATTATTACCAGAAATATATTTTTGGAAAAAAATATTAGCAGCAATACATCTCTGAAATAAATATTAGCAGCAATACATCTCTGAAATAAATATTAGCAGCAATAAAAATCTTGTCGGCATTAAATAACCCACTGAAGCTTTGATATACCGTAAAACAAACCAAGTCATACCAAACCAAACTATAATAGGATATAATCAAGCCTGCGTAGCCGTCAATTAAAAGAATACGATTTTAGTCGGTTATCCCTTGACTTTTCCAGATCTCTGTCCTTAATCAATCCATTCACCAGAGACTCGTGGCTGAAACTTTACCTGTTGGTGTATCTTTTTTTAGAGAGGGGGTTGTAGTAGGCAGTAATTTCTGGGGTGTGTGTGAGATATTTTACAAGTGTTTTACTCGTCTCCCCGCTCATTCATTTTTTGTCTGTCGGTCTAGTGCTGCATTCCCATTTCATCTCAAATAAGTTTTAACTTTTATTTACTAATTAGGCTTAGATATTTACTTATACTCATCTATAAATAAAACACTTTTATTTACTAATTAGGCTTAGATATTTACTTATACTCATCTATAAAGAAGACACTTTTATTTACTAATTAGACTTAGATATTTACTTATACTCGTCTATAAATAAGACACTTTTCCAGGTAACTGCTGACGCAGCTTATTCAATTTCGTCAAAGCTTTCAAAAGTATGGGAATTGGATACAGTAGTGGTCACCAAAAATGTCGATGCAATTTATGCCTTTTGGCTTACGATTGCTGCTGGTCATTTTGCGTCATCGACACTTGTGTTTTGTCATGCTTATTGCTTTTTGCAGCCTGAAGACGAGCTGTGTTGGCTTGAATCAACTTATCTATCTATCTATCTATCTATCTATCTATCTATATATATATATATATATATATATATATATATATATATGTGTGTGTGTGTGTGTGTGTGTGTGTGTGTATATATATATATATATATATATATATATATATATATATATAGTTCTAGTCATATTTATGTACCTATCTGTTCATATCTATCGCAGTTTTTAATACCAATCTATTTCAATTTTTTAATATCTATCTATCTATCTATCTATCTATCTATCTATCTATCTACATCTGCTCATATCTATCGCTGTTTTTTACTATCTATCTAGTTCTGTTTATATCTATCTCGTTCTTTCCATATCAATCTATCGCAGTTTTTTATATCTATCTATCTATCTATCTATCTATCTATATATATATATATATATATATATATATATATATATATATATTAGTTATTAATATCCACCTACTATCACTGTTTTTTTTTATCTAGTTCAGTTTGTTAATATATATCTCAGTCAATCAATACCTGTCCATTTCGATCTGTTTCTTCGTTTTTAAATATCTACGTTAGTTTTTTAATATCTATCTCAGATTTTAATATCTATCTTGCTCAGTGTAAATATCTATTTCAGTCTTCCTTTCTTCCTTCCTTCCTATCTATCTATGATAGTTGTTAATATATGTCTGTATATCTCAAATTTTATATCTATCCATGGCAGTTTTTTAATATCTATCTACTAAAAGTTTTATATCTATCTTAGTTTTTCATATCTATCTATCTATCTATCTGTTGTGGTAGGATCCACCTAATTTGCATAGTGGAGTACCGACCATATAAATATGGTTGGTACCGGGAAGAGAGGAAGGAATCAAGAGATTCAACCAGAGACTCTGCCCGACTGCGACTCAGTCAACACATTCTCCAGGAACGGTCTTACCAGGAATATACAAAAGACTATATGTAAATATTGTGTACACTTTCTTGTTTCAATACATTTTGTTCTAAGTACATTTTGTGTTGCATTATTATTCCATGCATTCGTCAAGTTTTAACACTATCTATCTCAGTTTTTTTTTTTTGTATCTATATATCTCCGATATTTAATATCTACCTATCTGTAATTTTACCCACGATTACTAAAAGGTAGATATTCCGATTTATAATGGCATGAAAAAGTTAGGCAGATGTCCGGTTTCTCCAGCAAAAGTCAAAAAGTTAGGCACATTTGCAGGGCTCACGAGAATCCAAAAAATAGACAGAGATCAGAATGCCACAAAATAGTTTCCTTTAACTCAAAAAGTTAAAGGAAAAACTGGGTCTGTATTTAATCTTAGAAAAAATGTTAAACATACCTGGGTTTTTAATGTAGATCATAAAGGAAAAACAGCTGTTTGGTTTGTATTAGAGTCAAAAAAAGTAAACACACTCGGTTTGTGTATGTATATGCATAGCTGGTCTATTAGGGCGGCGAGCCAATCCCTAGCAAAAACGACCTAACCTAACCTATTACGGACGCGTTTGCCAATATTCAACCCAGCAACCCCAATATCCTTAATGCCAAACCGGCATCAAAATGCCACTCGGTACCTTTCACTCGGCACAGACGCACAAGACTCACCCACCTTTCACCAAATTCTGATCGATGGAGTCGTTACCTTTCCGTCCTAATCTTGACTTTAAGCTGATGCTTAAAGAACAGGATCATGTATGTGGTGGGGAAGTAGGAAAATAAACAACTGTCAAAATGTAAACACCAACGTGTATTTATAATATAAAAAAGATATATACAAGAAACTAAATCAAATAGTTTTATTAATAATATTAGGTTGGTGCAAAAATAATGACGTAATAATGTCGTTTTTTTGACGTATTTTTTAACGTCAAAAACGACATTCTTACGTCATTATTTTTGCACCAACCTAATAAAAAAAAACACAATCCTTAATTGTGACAGAAATATTAGTTAACTGGACGAAATCAATGGGATACATTAATAATATAAAACACTCATTTGTCCGGCCACTCACTGAAACAAACAGTCATTCAAACACAACAACAAATACGATACTCAAACCCGAAATACGAAAGGCGTCTTGCATCTACGAGAGAAATGACATTTCTGGTCACTTAACGGGGCAGGATAGGGGAAATTAAACTAAAGAAAGTCCGGAGTTAAAAGGGCCAAACGAGAATAACCCCTCTAGCTAAGTTAACACTGAAGAAAGAAACTAAAGACGATAAACAAAGATAAACAAATTTCGGGCGGGGTTGTCAATATTTAAACCAGTAAGCGCAATATCCTAATGCCTAAGCACTCTAAATTGGCTCCTCTTACTCGACATAAACGTGCAAGACTCGCCCACCTTCTGCCAAATTCTGATGGAGGGAACCGCCGCCTTTTCGTCCTGATCTTGACTTTAAGCTGATGCTTAAGGAACAAGATCAATTGGGAAAAGGTGAATGCTTACCTACATAGAATTCCTTCTGACGTGTCATCCAAATAACAACTCTCATAATACCTAGCAAGCCAAAGTCCAGCGTTAAGTCAACGGCGGTACCACATTGCTACAGAGAGGACTGGCTTCAAGGACGAAAAACGCGAACTATGATACCATTAATAGACTTGCCCAACGGGACTACGACCCTCCAATGAAATAAGGTGTGATCCAGGGTCTCTACCTCCTAATCACAGTAAACGCCGTTTGGAGAATTTTGCAAGCCTGCCGAGAAAAGTCTTTTGCCTACGAATCACCAGGAAGTTGAGTGATGTCTCATCGCTCTTGAAGCAATTAAAACCGGCGTCCAAGGCCGAGCGAGCCTCCTGCTTCGTAAGACCAAGCTCGTCTACTAGATCATCTCGTGCTGATCCTCTGACATGTAATAAAATACAATTCGCGACAATTTCTGGACGAGCCGTCCGTCGCACGTAACAGGTACTTCAGAGAAATCCAACATTCACGATAGGAGTACTCACATCAGGCTAAAAGTTGGGGGGTTCCTTCTCGCACGAGTGCACACTTCTCAGGGATGGAACTTTTTTTTTTCCAAAATTCGCTGTCCTCACCTGATTATTGACACATTCGATCGAAGAACGAGATGTGAAGCGTATGCTGACAAGTTTCAACGCTAGGCACGCCCAGAACGCCTTCAGAAGAGTAGAGGTAACAGATCTTCCGAAGCACCTAGAAGGCCTTGCCTCCTCATAAAGAGAACAAAAGCCTTACTAATGAAACTGGCGTGGCAGACGGAAGTTGATGTAGGGAGAGTGGGTAAAGGAGAATTGGGAAGATGCACCAAACACATACTTCCGCACTCCCCTTCATGAAAAGATTCCTCCGTAACCACAGACGAACTGCGACCTCGCCCTTATCCCGTAAGTACGACCAATTTAATTCCAGAAAGAGATCGAGAACGAACAAGACACCGAATATCTTGTCCGTCTAGAGGAAAGATCCGGGGAAAAAAACTCCCACCTACGCACTTAACCGCAAGCAAAAAGAATTATCGGGCTCGATCTTGGGCCCCTGTCACCGTCTCGTACTCTCTGATTTCTTTGGCGACGTCGTCAATCTCGGCTCTGCTTGGCACAAGAACTGCCATGTCGTCAGCATAGCCGGAGTACCTGGCCGAGGTGGTAGCACCAAGTAGTGAAATTCCGCATATGACCGGATTAGTCTTTAATTTGCAAAGGAAAGACTCCGACGCAAAAACCTAAAGGAAAGGCGAAAGCGGACAATCTTGGCGAATGAAGCGAGATAATACAAAAGCCTCCGATTGAACCATATTCACATACACCATCGCACTGGGAGACATGTACTAAAGTTGGATCCAGGTGCAAAAGTACGACCCGAAACCGGCCGCCGAAAGAACAGCTTCCAGCAATCGATGGTCCACCCTTTCGAAAACCTTGGACTGATCTAAATTGATCAGCGCAGCTTCACTGTCGACTTGCTCGATGATCAAGCCTACCATATGATTGTTGTCCTAAATAGTCCTGCTCTTCACAGCACAATTCTGTTCGGAGCTAATCAGTCTAGAGATGACAGCCTGCAGAAGGCTAGCTAAGTTCTTGGCTAAAATCGTTTTTTACTCTGTGTTTAGCATGGTTAAAGCAGGAAATTTACGCACCCCAGCTCCACCGTTTTTGTCCTTGCGTTATAACTTGATCAAACCCCTGGTGAAGCGTTGCAGTAGAGACCCATGCTTCTTCCAGTTGTAAATCAGTGCCAGCAAAGGCACAAAGACAGACGACTGCCTCAAGGGTAGGGTAGACTATCGTAGATAGGTAGGGTACCTGTTGAGTTGTTGGGAGTGTTCCCGCGTGTGTGTATTCGAATAAATACAAACACAGTTGTAGGGATAAATACTGGTATATTTGTAAGAGGTAATTAACAACAGAGTGATTAGTAATAAGGAACGCCGGTTAGTAAGTAACAATAGCAAAAGTCTACAGTCCAACGGTATGTAATGGTAACCTGATCCTTCACACTACACCTTCACACTACACACCTACTCTCTCTAGCACTGACTTATATCGTAGAGGGATAAGTCTATTATCAGTCAGAAGGTGGGTGCGCCCCAACAGTACCCTACCATCTAATCCCGGATATTTGTCACGGCCAACCATTTCTTTCTAGATTTCCTACTCTGTGATCGAACCCTCGCACCCAGCTGCTTCAGTCGCCCCGAAGCGGGAAAAGTCGGCTAAATCGTCGATCTGAGCAGTGTTTAAACCGGACTTCCTGGTGAACAGATCCTGAAAGTAGTCAGGAAAAAGCCTCACATATGCCCGCGTTTGTAGTCACGGTCCGATTATCCGACAATATGACGCACGCGACATGTCGATGAGATACATTCCTAACTTCCTCTGCACGCAATTCAGCGGCCATATTCGTTGCTTCGGAAGACATTCTTTTTAACCTAGCCCTAACTACCTGAGCTTGACTCTTCTTGGCAAGCAAGGAGGCCAATTCTGCTCTAGCTAAGGCTACGTCCCCACTATCACGGAATTTAATCGCCCGATCCACTTTTTCCTCGCATGCTCTTTGCGCTGCTAACCTGTCTAGATTGAACATCAAACGACCTATTTTTATTTTAATTTGCCCCACATATTCCCAATCAGAGCCTCTGTCTATTCCTGGTGTAGCATTAGTAGCATTGGTCCCGGAAATCTTGCTCACCAAATAATGATGAGTTCAATTTCCAGTAGCCAGCCATCTTAACCTTAGGCTTATCTAAGTTAACACGAACCCAGACGAGCCTATGGTTCTATTAAACTATATGATGAAATAAAGGCCCTTCATCGACTCTCTTAACTAAGATTCGGTTGAGGTAGCAAGAACATATTGCCGTAGCCGAGCCCCTTGTATTCATCCAAGTCCACTCTACCTCCCAGGAGTGTTCATTACAGTACTTACCGACAAGATCAAACTTGTCCATGAAGTCTCGAAATGATTCCATATCCCGGTTGCTATTACCCGATCTTTCCGCTATACGGCCTACGTCGGGGTCAACGTCGCTAAAACTACACGACCAAATGTCGTCCAAAACGTCTCGATCTGCCGAAACACATCAGCCCACTCAGCATGCTCACTGGGCGCATAAACCCCAATGACACGAAGAACCTCATTTTTATAGTAACATCCAGCACGCAAAGCCTGCCCGCCGTCTTCTTGCGAAGACAAAAGCACATACTGCGTCCAAAGTCTTGTTCACCAGCCAGAAATTCCTCTCGACCGTCCATCAAAACACAGGCCGCGAATGCCCCAGGGAAAAGTGATTTTTATGCTCTATACAGA